CAAGATTCTTGTATACAAATCAGACAAGTATGAACGTGAATCCGGGAACGGAGAACAAGTAATAAATCCGAGATTTTCGTGAACAATGAACGTATGTTCGTACTCAGTAGTGAGGGGACGGACATTTTTGACGGAGGGGTGCAGTTAAGAGCAACTTGCCATCCGGCCCGGTTGTGCTTTTTGTGTGAATTCCGAAATCCGAGAGAATTGAGTGTGGTTGAATCAAATTGTGATGTGAATCCGTTAGGGTGTTTCAGTAGAGGTATTTCCGATCTGGTATATCGACGAACAAATGCCATAATAATGAAAAAAAACCCTTCAAATTTGATGAGATGTGATAACACGAGATTGTAGCGCAGCCAGTCAAAGGGCGCGCGTCGAAAAAAAAGTACGGTCCCTTTTCGGATGTTTCGTACGCGACCGCAGTCACTGCAACAGATGATACATGTGGTGGTGTTCGATGAGGAAATAAATTATCGGGAGGAGTATGGACAAATTTTACGTACCACACACGCAACAATTGTTCCGAACAAGTTCCTCACGATCCTGTTTCTCTTGTCGCAGTGCAGCAAATGTGTCCACAATGACACCGAATATGACATTCATAATGATGATGATCACGATAATGAAGAACGACAGATCATACAAGGCTCGGTAGAGAAAAGTTGCTTCCTGTGAAAAAAAAATCGGAGGAACGGAAAAAGGCGATACGTTTTCACAAATTAGAACAAAACCCGGAAGAATTTGATCAATCCCATTGGGGGACGAAATAACCGAACAGCTGACTAATCTAACGAACGCTTTTGTGGCCTACGTTTGAATTAATACTTTTCGGAGGTGTTGACATGTAAAGCGCATACGAGTTAACTTACATTAGTCCCATTCGGCATATTGACCGTTAAGAGCGTTTAAAATAACATGAGAAATCGGTTATCCACCCGCACCCCCCGGGTCGAACAGGTCATGTCGGGATCGATCGATCGATCAAACAGTGCGCGGATTTTTTTCGCCGCACTCCGCCCCAGCACCATGAGCCACGCTATCCGTGACGTCAGTGTTATCATTATACGCCTCCGGGTTTGCACATGTCCCAGCCGGCGTAATCTATGAAGGTCGACTACTTTCTTCAATGGACAACCGCGACTACCTAAAACTTTACGCCTAACCTCAGTATTGCTCGTCCGGTTATCCCACCAGACTCGTGCAATGCGACGTAGACAACGATTTTTGAACACCGACAATCTATTTTTATCCAACATGGATACATAACGCTCAGCTTGACTTCACGTTAGTGAGTAGTGGTGTGGGGATAGATGTAACCAATCTCGCCTGTTCATCTAACCGATCTTACCTACAAGCACAAAACGTCCTTCATGAAGTCCGTCGTTCCCTCAGGGAACCACCGGGTCCGCGTTTCGCTCTGATTTCGTATCCTTTGCCTACTGGATATAAAACCGGGTAACGTTTTACGAAAACCAAGAAATACTGCTGTTCGGGAACACTAGATCAGGCATGTTTATACGATATTGTCTTCCGGGCACCCCTGTGTAGAAATCTTCTGTGTTTGATATTGCGATTCACTCAGCACCTTTTGGACGGAGATTTTGGCGCCTACTCACTTGGTTATCGGTGACTGAGGAGTTGACTTAACGAATACGGCTTGACAGATCGGCCTCAACTTCTCTTACCCACAACGTAATCTGTTTTTAATATTCTGTAAATGTTACAGCAGAACACATGCGTTGCAATAGCACACTGAATACCACTCCAGGACATGGGACAGTCAGACATTGGTTGGTTGACTACAGTGCAAATTACCAAAAAGTTCTGCAAATAAGTTAGATTAGAATGGCGCTGAAACTCTATACAATCAACTATATATATAAGAGGTCAAAATACAATTATGACATTCAGCTCATTCAAATTAAGTGCCTTGCCCATCAAATAACCTTGCTCAATGAATCGATAAGTGTGCATGCGGTGAAACACCACGCAATGGCACCTGAGATGACCACTGTTCGCTGCTTTCAACAACAATGTTGAGATCCACAAAAGTAACGAGCCTTCAGACACATCCCGGGGCGTCCTCTCTATTCAACCATAGCTTGCTCAGTCCTCCAAAAACTGGAATGTGTGCAAGAACGCATATCTGTAAAATTCCTTTTGTCAAACACATCGAATGTACTCGAAATCACAAGGTATAGATTGATCTATCCATTTACTATATAGTGTGCAAAATAGTTCTTTCATCTAGGTTACAATACCTCGCCGATTTCAATGTGTACTCTCTCCTTTTCAATCTGTCTATAGGTGAAGAAACCACCCCAGCAAGAAAGGACTACAATCCGAACAAATTTCGTACTCAGTTACAACTGCTGAAAATTCTCAAGGTACGAAATTAATCGTCCAAATCCAACCAGGTTCAGAGTTGAAATAATCCAGTCATTTGCTTCATTAACGTCCATCTTGATGGAAGCATATCTTTCAAAAGGGGCACGAGAGAGATTTTTCTGCCGAATTTGGTTTTTGCACTCACTTGTCACTCATCAGATTGCTTAAGTCAAACAGTTAGTCGTATGCCAGCAAATCAGGCAATTGATGCCTCGTAGCCACCGACCTCATCCGTTTCCAATAGGCGGTTGTAAAACCATTATTTGGTAATATTGTGGACGCTCTTTACTGTTCACTTATAATCCGAAAGGGTTGTTGCCCCGGTGTTAAAAAGTCACCATAAGACGGAATCGTTGTGGTTGACGAGATCAGCAGGGTTTTGTGCCGACAGAATGAATTAGAACAAAATGGGAACTGGACTGTGGGGCATTAACCACGAAATATTGGGTCAGGAAAGACGGTACTGATTGCGTGTTTGTTGCGTAGTTCGATGCAGTTCGTTGCCGCTCTCTCGGATCCAGGGCCATTGTTTGGTAAGGCGTTTCGAAAGTATGAATCTTCAACAAACCTTGAATACATTAGCAAAAACTTAACAGTTTCGGTCGGATCCGAATCCACACATGGGACGCTGTTTACGCTTCCTTACTGAGCACTACCAGCCCTACCAGCTGAGATACGAAGCCACCCCGATGAAACTGATCTTTTCATATACAGATCAATAAACCAAGTAAATGGAATTAACCAATTAACATGTAATCTGATTGTCACGGCAGGTGTTTTTTAGAATGCACCAAATGACCTTCGAAAGCTCGGTTATTTGATCAAATTTTGGTGTTTAGCAGACAAAGGAAGACAACAGTCTTGTGTTGCTGAATTGTGACAAAGGTTGGTAGCCTAGATTGGATTCGAACCCACTTATGGACGTCACTTGCGTCTTTTGTTCAGCACAAACTCTACCAGACGGTCGATTCCATAAGCCTCTATAGTTGGGTAATCTAAATGTGGAAGGTGACGTCAGCAATGCGCGTGCGTAACACAATTTCTGGACTACATACTATAGGTCGATTGCACCAGCCAATCAGAAATCGTGCGACCCAGACAGAAGCAGAACAACGGCAGAAATACTAGAATGTGATTGGCAGAGGCCCGGATGACCAAATAGTTTATTTTTTACAAATTATTTAATCCCCCTTATTTCTTTCAATAAACGAACTACCACTCTCGAGGCCTTTTCCTCGCGTCTCAGTTTCGTGGGATATTGTGTGCAAGTGCCAGTGTGATCCAGTACTTACGTGATATCCGTGACTGCTAATCAGTGACTCGTATTCCGTGATTCGTATTTCGTGTTCATTGTGTGCTACTACTACCATTAGTACAACTACTACAATAGCATATTACTGATCAGTGGCAGGTCAAATGAAGCTGGGCACCCAAAACGGACAACATTTTGCTTCTTCTATTTTTGCTTGGTTGCACTTAAGTAGTAGCTCAAATCCAAACTGATGACCGAACCTGGGAAATCACAGGCATAATAGAAGCATACTTACCGTTGGGCAGGCGATCAGACCGTTTGTTTCACCTTATCTACGCACAAAGTAGCACAACTCAACTTTCCTAGCTTGTTACGGACGTCGCATCTCGCTGATTGAAACCGTTGTACAATGAGTGCCTTCTGGTTGCACAGTTTCATCTCTATTTGTTCTTTCATGCACGATAAAATTAACCTTTGGATCCAAACAAATCTTTCAATACCTTCCTGTGTTATCCGACTATTCTATCCAGTTCGTTCTCGATCGAGGCGTGAACCGTCAAATATACACGATTCGTTCATACTTCTCGCTTTTATTCTGTTTATTCAATCATATTTGTGTGAATACCCGCTGACAAGAAAGCTCGGTTCTTTGCTGCACAAATGATTCCAACCAACCTCTGTTCCGATGAAATAC